TTTCATTTTTTAATTTTTAACACTGAAGCAACAATATACAATCTTTTAATCACAAGCATATCAGTCTTGGTCATTAGACTGAGACTATTAACCCCTATAAGGCTGAACCCTATTCTACTTATTTTAGAGTATTTTTTATGTGGTCTCCATAGATCTGCTACCTACTAAATCGAAATAAGACCATTTAATCATACCCTAATTATCACTATAGAACAAAGCAGACCAACTTAAACTATTAGTAATTTTAAACAATCACCATATGATTTAAATAGTATTATTAGTTTTAAGATAAAGGCCCACCCACACCCACAATACTCAGTTGAAGATACTCTGTTGCTTATGTAAAATCAAAAGATGCATCCAAATCAAATCAAATCAAATCAAATCAAATCAAATCACTTTTATTGTCACATCATCAGCAGGACGTGTCCTCTGAAGAGTGAAAAGCTTAGGTGCTGGCTCCAGACAGTACAAAATACAGTGCAAATACAACGACAGTGAAAAATATAAACAGTGCAAATAAAATGACAGTGAAAAATACAGACAGTGCAACATACAGACAGTGCAAATACAACAACAGTGCAAAATACAACAGCATACTTAAAAAAAAAGATAAAAATTTTATAAATACAATACATCATTGTCAATAAAATGAAATCAAATCAGTGGCTGCATATTTGATTTTGTTTTAGCCAAATTTTAAGAACAGTTTTAAAATTATTAAATGTGCTGCTCTCTCTGATATACACTGGTATTTTATTCCATCTTTCTGCTGCTTTAACTGAAAAAACAGATTGTCCAAAAGCAGTTCTCTTAAGTTTAACTGAACAATCACCTCTAACAGATGACCTAGTCTGTCTTATATTGTCCTTGCCGACAATCACACATTGTTTGAGGGGTGGTGGTGCAAGACCATGAAATATTTTATACATTAAACACACATCAGCATAAAATAAGAAACTGTCAAATGTTAGTAATTTTTGTTGTGCAATACAGTTGCAATGATGATAGCTCCTTGGCTTTTTAGCTAAAATTTTAACAGTTTGTTTATATATAACATACAATGGTTTTAATGTTGTAATGTTCGTATGCGACCAGCTTGTAGCACAATAAGATAAATGAGGTAAAATCATTGTATTCATAAAAAGTTTAGCAGCAGCCATAGGTAACTGATGCCTAATGTTTCTATAGATCCTCAGGCTTGCTCTAGCACTTTTGGAAACCTTCTTAATGTGTTTTTTAAAATTTAAATTGGAGTCAATAATTATACCTAAATATTTAAAATGATCAATAATATTTATTACTTCTCCATTAACTAAAATATCTGAGCAATGCTCCACATTTTTCTTAATTGAAAAAAACATTCCCACAGTTTTACTTACATTGAGGGTAAGACATGAACGATATAACTAATCTGAAACCTTTTTGAGTTCAGCAGTTAGTTTTTTAGCAGCATGTTCTTTGGTTTTAGCGTGAGTATATACTACCGTGTCATAACAGGACAATGTAAAATTGACAGCGATATGTACGTTCAATAGTACAGCGTGGGAGCTCCATACCATGGGGTGATCTGATTACAGAATAGTGCTGACTTTCTTGATACTTTTCTTTAGTCAGACCAAGACAGAATCTCCTCCAAGGGTGTGTAAAACAACAATGGAATTTGCATGAAGCGGTATGTTAGTTCTGAAGAGTTACCTAGCGAACAAATAGAAATCTGATTTTCCAACCTAAGCAGTGGGTGGAAAGACAAATGGAGCTATAAATCTATTATTTTGATTGTGAGGGAATGAGACCATTGTACCAGTCTAAGACATTTCAAATATGATGAATAAAGTCACTTGCGTTGATACAGAACATTCATACTTTTCTGTCTATCATTCTGACCATTCTGTGTGAGTTGGGTGAAGAAGAGAGTGAGTGAAGGGAAGGAAGTGCAGGAGAGAGTTAAAATGTAAATGAATGAATGAGATTTCCCCACAAATGCCTCCCACTCCGTATAGTGTGGAGGCAGTTGTCCGTGTTTATACACCCTGTTTGTATTGTCAATATGTGGACACATTAAAGTATTTGAGGTTTCTCAAATCTTACACCTGTCTTTTCTAAACTTGGTTGCATACTCCCTTAGGTTTAGAAACTTAGCATGTCAGACGGCCTGGCACCATCAAAGATTTGAATGGAGTTGGTATGACTCCTTTAAAATGTACCATAAGTAGTCTTTTTTTTCTTTTTTTAAAGAAGCCTACAATATAAACATTAAATTAAATATTTGAAATTTGCATGCGTGGGAATGCCTGCTCTCTTCCAAGTATTGCTTCACATTGCATACATGCATGAAGTGGTTTGTCAAAAACATATCAAATTTACGTTTATGCCAACAAAGAGCTGTGCATATAATTGATGGGATTTTTACTTGACAAACTTTGCGCCTGAAACTGCCTGGAATTTGCTGCATTGCATTGCATTTGTGTTTCCCAAGCCATGTGGGAAACTATCTTTATATTAATGTGACTGGCTACTGCTCGGCCCCGATTATTTCACTCAGGGTTTGCAGCCATAACTGCCTGCAATCTGCATTCTTTATAATTTTAACAAAATATACTGCGTTATATCAGTCAGCATTTTCTTAATTTTATTAGTAATGTAACTTTCCTTATATATTGACTCAACAAATTACTTCCCAATAATGGTCAAAAACAAACAAGAAATCCACTTTATTAATTTTAGCTGATGGTCAGCAGTTGATAGCTGAAGTTCAAATTTAAATGTATTCACCCAACATATTAAATTGTGCTTAGCCAATTTATTAAACCGAAATGAAATATCTGTGTTTGGCCAACAAACATTGAAACATAAAATGTGTGTACAAACTGATGGTGTTATTGACATATTTAATATGCAAGTACATTTGATGTTTAATGTTAATGGGTTAATGGTTATAACTATTAAAAATGTGATTTTATGAGTTCAAAGTACCTATTGTGGAAAGGCAATATTGATGTGACATTACACTAAACAACGTTTGCAGTAACTTATAGGAAAAAAATACATTTTATCATGTTTTTAACATTTTTAAACGTAACAAATACATTTTTTATATTGAATTGTAATATATTATCTTTCTAATTCATGTCTGGAGACAAAACTCTTTTTTTATTAACTCTTATGTTATAAACTCTTATTATTATAATGGATATAGCTGTTTATTAAAACTACATTGTCTACATGCACCAAAATTATTGCCTTTATTTACTGAGAAATGGATAAAAACATTTTAAGGGGGTATAAATGTTTAATGCCTATGAGCAATTCCAAGCAAATGTCAACCTTGCCATGAAAAAAAAAAGTTTTCACCAAAACAGTAAAACTTTGCCTGTGTGTGTGTAGGTTTGTATTTTACAGTAGTGTAAAAATACTCAAAAATGTCTCTGTCAATTATTTTTGATTTACCAAAGTCACACATTGGCAAAGTTGCATTTATCACATCCTCATAAACGCAAAAAAATGTCAAATAAAATAAAATCGATCATTTTTGTTTTATAGTAAGCAACTCAAAATCCTTTAGATAAGCATTGTTTCTTTTGAGTTGTGCATCTTTTCTCATGCCATAACTCTTTTTCAATGTAATGTTAACATATACTTTCAATGTGAATTTATGTTTTGAGTTTTTACAGCAAATAACATCCATAACGCTCTTCTTGAGAAGGTCTTTATTAGCATAAATATAAAGATTGTTAAACGAGCTTTAAAACTAATTTTAAGGTCTATCTATCTATCTATCTATCTATCTATCTATCTATCTATCTATCTATCTATCTATAGATATATAGATAGATAGATAGATAGATAGATAGATAGATAGATAGATAGATAGATAGATAGATAGATAGATAGATAGATAGATAGATAGATTCTGTAGCCTAGATTTTTACACTTTAGCATTAGAGTAAAATAAATAAATTTGCAGAATTTGTTAGTAGAAAACAAACAATTATATATATATATATATATATATATATATATATATATATATATATATATATATATATATATATATATATATATATATATATATATATACACACATACATACATATATATATATATATATATATATATATATATATATATATATACAAATATTTTTTTTTCAGGAATTTGTAGCTTAAGCAGTAATATGTTTCATAGAATAAAACAAAACAGTAATTAAACCATTAGTTATTAACAATAAAGACTGATAAACGTTTTGCAATTTCTTATTGTTTTGCTTATTTGTTTGATACTTGGGTCAGATGTTAAATCTACTGTATTTAGATTGTAGATTGATAATACAATTTGTACAATATAACAACCATTATGCCTCACAAAACAGCAAACCGGACATGTGAGTGCATAATGGGCCACTCTAGATGATGTATATCACTTTCATTTAGGATTTTTCTTTCTAATTGAGTCGACTGAATCTATTATATGATGTTTCATCATAATTTTTTTGATCATCATTTGTTGACAATTTCTAGTGCATAATTTATTTATTTTTTTGCAATATATCGTTTGAATTTAAATGTATTATCTTTCTATACCTGAAGGTGTTAGGTGAAAAAATATAGCTGTTTTGTTTAAATGCACCAAAAATTTTGTATATATTTGCTGAGAAATGGATCAAAATATAATTTTTTAAAAGGGGTTGTACTCGTATATGCTGAGCACTGTGTATGTATTTCCTCTCTAGTTATTCATCTTTTTATCTCTTTAATCTTAACATTTTAATCACTAGGAATAATCTTTGCAAAAAATAAATCTCCGTAGTAACTTAAATTCTGCCAGGATATCTTACTTTTGTGCAATACCCTTAGGACTGTTCTGCATTGTAAATAATAACAATTTTCACTTTTGGTGACCCAACCCTTTAATTCAGTTCAGTTCAATACAAATGTCACTGTTTAAACATGATTTACTAAACAGCAGCTCCACCAGTCTACAAAAAAAATCATACCATGTCATTTTTCACCATTTTATTTTTGGGACATTTAACAAGGAAACATATCATAAACAAACTATAGATAAAAACTGATACGACGCAGCATTTATTTCTGTGCAATTAATCTCCTCAGGAAGTGTCTCCCCTGAAATTAAAAAGAACTTCATTAGTCAAAGTCCAATATTTTAGGATATTATGCTATTGCCTGACAGGCAAGCTCACTCTTTAAACTTCCACTCCTGACGGCACATCGGGCACTGCTGCTGCACTTGCTGAGAGTTCAGCCACTTCAGGATGCAGTGCATGTGGAAACAGTGTGAACACTGACCCCAGACCAATGGACAGTCATCTCCTGGAACCTTACCTGTTAAAAGTAAAAAGTCTATTTTTAATATATTACGCGTTAAAAAAAAATGAACGCAGTTGCAGTTTTTTTTTTTTTTTTACTTTCTGTTGTTGTTGAAGTGTGTTTAACGTGCAAAAAATATGAATAAGACCAAGGAAGCACTTTTTGAAGGCAAGTTTCAGTATAAAACATTTAATGTCGCATCACCAGGCTCTCCAGAGTTTCATGCAATTTCGGGTGTTTCGTTTTTAACTTTCAACTTCTGTTTTAATGGAATTTGATACCACATGACGAACGGAAAGAAAAACCTCAGCATTTCGTGACTCTGTGGTCCTTTAAGATAATCAAAAATTGTTGCTTACATGGTAGACTCTTAATAAGAGTATTATCTTAATAATATTAAAATCGGAGTACTGGTGTCCATGTACATACTCAGAACGTGTCAGATGAAGTCGCGAGTTTTCAAAGACAGCGCATTCCTCTGCCTTTCAGTATGAGCCCTCCAATGTTTCATTAAGTTTTGTAAAGTGTCTGCCTCCCGTTGTTGTGTCAGAATCCTTATGAAATACAGGCATACTTTAGAACACTTAGTTTAAGCAAATTTGATGAACGCGATCATGCGTGTTGAATCTGAAGAGAGTCGCTCCGGCTGCCCTGTCCTGACCTGCGCGCATTTTGTGTGCATATGTATGTGTGTATGAGTGTGTGTGTGTGTGTCTGTGTCAGGCCCGTGCACAAAGCACAGACCCTTACAAGGGCAGGTACTCAACGCGATCGTAAAGTGAAGAGCAAATGCCTCCTGAGAGGGGCACCTCAGCCAATAAGGGCGGAGGGGCAGTGGCTCTAGCCAGAGGGCCACCCCCCTATGCATGGCCCTGGTCTGTGTGTGCGCGAAACCTGCCTAAACGTTGTTGTCTGTAGCCACTAAATCAAAAAGTTACGAATTGCCATGCAATGAATTGCATTTCACTCTCAGCTCACATTATTCCAAAAAAAAAGGTCAACAGACTGCATTGTCTTAGCAACTGGATGAATGTAAAGGAGGACTAAGCAAAATTGTTTCTACTTTATAATTAATGTTCTCAACTCACAGCAATAAAACTTTACAATGAGTACAATTGTTTGTATTAAATTCTTTATTGTTATTATAATTTTCCATTTTCCATAACTTCGATGCCTGTATTTTGGCATTTTTTTTGCAGAATCGAACTTGGAAATCATTTTTTTCTTTACTGGTATTGATTGTTTTAAAATTAAAATGGCATTAACACACAGAAAATATGAATGTCAAGCCAGCATCTTGATGGATTTGTGTGGAAATGTTGTTTACATGAAAAAATCTGTGTTACGAGTTATACACAAATTCTAATAAACAATTATATTTTGAATTTAAATAATTTTTGTCTTGCGTTTACATTAAGTTTACATTTGAATAGCCAAAATTACAAGTTTCAGTCTTTTAAATGCAAAAATTTTTCCAAAAAAAGTGTGATTAATTCGTTTTTTTTATTTTTATATTTTAATACATTTTTAAATCGATTGTCAGCACTAATATATATATATATATATATATATATATATATATATATATATATATATATATATATATATATATATATATATATATATATATATATATATATATATAATAAAGAGGGAGGTGGGTGAAATTACGAGACTTTTTTTTTTTTGAAAGAAATAAAAACGGGATGTTTGCGGTAGACTGGTCTGAAATATGTGATACTCCCATGAAAAATGGAAGTGTTGGCTGGTGTGCTTACCCGTTTAATATTGATTTAATCTGCTATAGTTGGAAATCAGACTGTTATATCGTCTAAGCGTAAGGGCTTATGCGGTTCTGCCGCCATCTTTTGGTAGAAAGCGTCAACTGCCGCCAACGAGCTGTCTCAGAAATTGTAAATATTTTAAAATAGGCATTATTCTTGCAAATAAACTGCATAGTTGCGATCTAAACAACTACATTCTTGAAAAAGCCTCAAAAGTATATTTTGTTGTGTAACAGCAGTAATGTTTGTCAAACTGTAGTGTCTGCTTGTTGCTGGCTGTATGTGGACGGAGTAATACACAAAGGGTAAAGAGGCTGTACGGATGCTGATATTACTTAAATATATCACAGCTATCAGCCAATCAGATTCGAGATCCAGACAGAACTGTTGTATAAACATACATACACACACAACTAATGCTTAAGGCATTCCAAGACAGGCACCATCAAGTGTATCTGTCTGCGGACTGCAAGACAGGTGTAGTTGGTAAGAAAGGTGTAACTTGCAGCTATCGAGACCAACTGAACCATGCAAGATTTCATAACGAGATGTTGGCAAGATGGCGAAAATACTTAACAAAGAACAATTTTTTACCAAATGTTTTTATGCGTTTTCTCCAAATGTATCTACAACCAATTAATATGCTATATTATTATATTCATTCATTTAGCAACTCTATGCAGTTTATTTATACGGATAATGCCAATTTTTAATGTAATTTCTGAGAGACAGCGTGATTTCAGAGAGATGATTAGCCTGTCACGAAGCAAAGACGATTGACAATGTCCATCCACAAGATAATAACCCCTTGGAGGAGAAAAACGCCATACAGTAATTTCTAACTATACATGATCAAATTATTACTAAAAAGGCCAGTGACATTATAAGTTGATCTCTCTCTCTTTTATGTTTTAGTGCTGTATTTATTATACTATAATTATATTGTAGTGTATTGAGTGGGAGATGGGACTCGGATCAGTAATGTATATATTTTGTGTTGGCCACTCCTTGTATAACCCCAAGTAACTTTTTGGTTGGCCATTTGTTTGTTTCTAATGAGTCTCCTGTTTTCGTTACTGCAGACTGGTTCAGTAAAAAAAAAAAAAAAAGAAGAAATATATGCATTTTTTCCACTAATATACATACACATATATATATATATATATATATATATATATATATATATATATATATAGGGTGGGCCATTTACATGGATACACCTTAATAAAATGGGAATAGTTGGTAATATTAATGTCTTGTTTGTGGCACATAAGTATATGTGAGGGGGCCAACTTTTCAAGATGGGTGGTGACCATAGTGGCTACTTTAAAGTCGGCCATCTTTGTCCCAAATTTGTTTTTTCGATAGGAAAAGGATCATTGTCCCATCAAACTTGCTTGGTTTTAATATAACTATTCTTAAAAAATAAAGTTACATTAAAACCAGGCACACCATTGTTTTTCTCATGAAATTCCCAATATGTTTGATGCGTCAAATGACCTTTTTCCTATTGAAATAACAAAAGTTGGATCCAAGATGGCCGACTTAAAAATGCCCACTATGGTCACCACCTATCATGAAAAGTTTGCCCCTCACATATACTAATGTGCCACAAACAGGACATTAATATCACCAACCATTCCCATTTTATAAAGGTGTATCCATATAAATGGCCCACCCTCTTTGTGTGTGTGTGTGTGTGTGTGTGTGTGTGTGTGTGTGTGTGTGTGTGTGTGTGTGTGTGTGTGTGTGTATATATATATATATATATATATATTTTTTTTTTTTTTTTCTTTCCCCAGACACATAATAGTTTTATTAACTCATTTTTAACAACTGATTTCTTTTATCTTTGCCATGATTACAGTAAATGTTATTTTATTCAATATATATTTTTCAAGACACTTCTATACAGCTTAAAGTGACATTTAAAGGCTTGCTTAACTAGGTTAATTAGGTTAACTAAGCAGGATAGGGTAATAAGGCAAGTTATTGTATAATGAGGGTTTGTTCTGTAGACTAGTGCTGTCACACTGAAATCTCTAAAAATAATAAGTGCACTTTAATTGCCCGGATGATGCACTCATTCAAACGGTAAAATGAAGTGTTGAATGATGGACATGTCACGCACTCAACAACCACAACTTTTCTCACAGAGCGGAAGGAGGGGAGCTATCGGGCGCACATGTTGGATAACTTTGGGTCACCAAAAGTCATCACCAAAAGTTATCCCAAACAATTTTGGATGCAGCAACAGAATGGGTGACCATGCTTGGCCATGTGTCACTTCACTTTCATGTCATGTTACTTTCATGAACCAAAAATTTCTAAAACATGTTGCTATTGAAATTCCACTGGGAATGACACTGTTTTATGATAAACCTGCTTTTTATCGTAAAACTTAAAACACAAAGATGGCAGAGTATAGTATTTGTGGGTGATGTGTAATCAGGTTACCCACAGTCTGGGCAGCAACCATTGAAAGATGCCCGACAGATGCCGCAATTTTCATCATTGGCCACCCATAACCAGGATGCCACACCGTTCCACTGCTTTATTTTAACCTTCATTCCTTCTGTAACACACAAAAAAAACAATGCAGATTTATTTATTTACACATTTTTCAAAAGCAATAATCACTTCCATTTAGTAGTGTACCACATGTTATTACCATGCAAGGTCCTACAGATTTTAACCAGTGGTTTTCCACGTCATTTCTAGCTCTTAGTGAGGATTAGAAATTAACTGCAAAACATTTTATGGAGACTATAATCATGATTAAAAATATAAGTAGGATCCTTTACAGACTGAATGAATACAATGTTCATGTACCTGTTAGATCAGGGTTTCCCAAAATGCCAGTCACTCGCAACCCCCAGATTGATTGGAGGTGGTTATAAATATACTAGTGTTGCACATACAGCAATAGGCCTATATAAACACGAGCATATTGACAACAGAAAAAAGTGCAACAGTCTAACGACTATCATATTTAAAGTAATTTATTAGTTTGTTTAATTTGATATTAACCTCAACTAAAGAGATTGGAGGGCACAATGTTTTCAGCACAAGTCTATACTTGGTTTTATTTTATAGACCGCCACTCAGAGATGATTCCCAATATTCTGTTGTGGCCTGTATTTATTTTTAATGCAAGTTATTTTATTTCCATAAAGGTGTCAGAAAGTTTAACCTGATGCTTTAAAATTTGCTGCAGCTGACAATATTGCTGCAATCTAACATAAACACCAATCCTATGAAGAAATAATAATTAAAAGGCTGATGGCAACCAAGGGACTCCCACTTTGGGAAAAACAGTGTTAGATTATAATATTATATTAGATCTTTTTTTTTCCAATTTATATTTAGAAATACATTTCATCATAATGCCACATCAAACAAATGTAATTCCGTAATTATTACTCTTATTTTGTTAGAATAAATTACATATCAACCCTTACCAGCGCAGATATGAGTGAAAACACTGGTCTGTTAACGTGAACATAATACTAATCTAAATATGCTGCATTCCCCGTGCATGGCCGAGAGCAAATCGTTTTATGTGTACTAACAAACAGAAGTAAGATCACTTACTGTTACGTTCTCACATCCATAACATGTATGATGAGCAGTGAGCACAATGTAGCATTTATGCTCAGCTTTTCTTCACGCTCCCTTAAGCCAGCTGAAACCACAACATCGCCACCTACAGTGTTGGAGATGTAAATAGACATTTATCCTTAAATAATAAACAAAAAAATTAACAAGTTAATCTTTTTTTTTTAAAATTGTCGTTGTTTATTTTTTCTACACCTCTGTTTGAGTTCCAACGAAGAAGAAATGCCGTTAAAGCCCAAAAGGGATACAGCCTCGGATACTAACATATTCAGCTGTATCCCATCTAGACTTTACCCAACAACGAAAAAGACGGAAGTGTTTAGCTTCTCCTAGCAACAGAGATGCAAAGGGAAAGCCACTCGTGTGCTAAATTGTCATCAACAGAAATTAAATTAAAAGCATTAAATATTCTGATATACCGAATCTAAAGCGAAAAAAACGTTAATTATTTCCGCTAAAGGACTGTGAATTAAAAATTGCTATCTGAACGAAAACTTTGGGGTAAGTTACATCTTTAACTTATACGTTTAACGTATAGCTCTGCTAAGTTACATATGCCCAGTCTACAATTGAAAAAGGTGATTATAACAATTATAATTATTACTTATTTATTTTTGTCTTGTACAATTGTTTATGTTTGTTTGTGTCCTTGTTGTATTACGTTACTTAAACTACCAAGAAATGGAAGGTCGGCAAGAGGATCAGATGAACAGACAGGAAGAGGTAACGTTAACGTAAATCTTAGTAAATTTAAGAGAAACGAATTCACACATTAAACTTTCGTTGTAACCAGTTTGTGTGTGTGTGTGTGTGTGTGTGTGTGTGTGTGTGTGTGTGTGTTTGTTTTTATTACATGGTGGGGACCTCAGCATGATAGCACACTCACAAAGTGGGGACCAAAAACATAGTGGGGACCGATCGCCCGGTCCCCACTATGTTTTGCCTTTAAAAGACTCAGGGGGCGTTGCTGATATGCCTAGTGCAGTTTTTTTCACTGATCCCCACCTTGACCATTTACCTGAATTGAGTGTGTAAGTGTGTGTCGGCGCACTGCTCTATAGCGGTCCTGTAGTCGGATGGCGGTACTGCACCCTGACACACACTTGGCGCTATTCACACACTCTGCCTACTGCACATGCGCAGATCTCATAAATGAATCCGACTTTAATCAACTTAATTAAGATCTATCATCAAATTAATCGAATTTTTGGGTAAGTTATAATGTTTTTCACCATCATAATGTAATGACATCGGTTATATGACAAATACTTATGTTGCATATTTTGACAGTTATCAGGTATAGTTAATTAAATGTTTTAACGAATTTCCTGGGTGTTTTAATCGATGTTGTTTTAAATTACGTATTAATATAACACTGATAAGACACAAACTACAGTTCGGTATGTAATTTAACTTGTTTACACGAGTAAAAGTTACTCGCGCTAATGTGCTAACGTGCTAACTGCCCGGTGCTACACGAGTCAGAGGCCGGGGTGGAGTGCATGAGCGGCGGTCAGACAGTCACCAATCACCGGGCGGCTAAATGGATCGACGGAGGATAAAACCATTAAAAGATGCGGAGAAACACATCACCAGCTCCACTGACAAGACCCATTCACTGGAAACCGAATATATAGAAGGTTACTAAGGTATGTTTTCATAGTTCTTGTATCGTACTTTTTAAATGGTTAATTACTTTAAACATGTAACGTTAATCCTGAAATAACACTATTATATACTATTTATACGTTAATGTAGTGATATAGAAGTTATAATTAAAATGTTGGGCCATCTGGTCCTAGAAATGTACTTAATTTATTGTTCTATGACGTGTAGAAACGTCTTATTTTAGATAAATAATTATAATAAACTCCAACTTAGTGTAAAACATATATAAAAGTACATAAATGTTCACTGTGTGTGTTTTATTTATTTATTTGCTGTCAACTGGTAGCCTTTTACAATAAGGTTAAATTAGTTAATGCTGTTTAATGCATTTACTAACATGAACAATGAATAATACTTTATTACAGTATTTGTTCATGTTGTTTAACTTTAGTTAATGAAAATAAAGATGTTCATTACTAGTTGAACATGCACAATGCATTAATTATTGCAATGCATTATTACTGGTACAAGCATGAATTTAGATTTGAATAATGCATTAGTAAATGTTAAACTATGATTAATAAATGCTGTACATGCATTGTTCATTACTAGGTCATGTTAGTAAGTACATTAACTAATAAAACCTGATTGTAAAGTGTGACCTGTAAACAATTGAAGTGGAAAAAAAGTTCTTTAAAACTGTCCTAAGAAAGAAGAACAGGTGTTCAATAGTATTAGAACAACATTGAGGAAAGGTTCTGATCCACTTCAAAAGGTTTACTGTATTTATAATTCACACACAGAGAGGATGCTAATGTGAGGTTTTTGTAGTTTTTGAACACTACACGTTTCATTAAATCTTTTAGGTCAGAGTTTGCGTTGTCCACATTTATTAAAGGAAGTTTTGTGGTTGAGTACAAATAATAGAGCTTGTGGAAGCAAAGCATAGATGAGATATTAATAAAAATACTGTCTTTATGTTTGACTTTATATGGTAAAACAAGAACAGGTGGTTAAGTGTTTTCCCCATTCAAATGTTCATGTATATATTATATTCATTCTGTTTGTATTCATGCCATAGTTTAGCTTTTTATTGCTATGAAAGGGCATAATTAAAATGTTGCTTGCTCTTTTCTCTTAGTTTTGCAGCATTGATGCCGATCATGAGGATGAGACCCTCGGCCGGCTGGTGAATGATGACCATCTGCACCCTAACTGCACTGTCAATAAGATCGTTGTTCAGAGAAAAACCTCATTTGTGCCTTTTTGCAATCAGGGATATTTTCTTTGGAGAGGAAATAACGTTTGACTATGGCGCATGTGATTGGCCTTGGAGAAAGGTTTGACATTTTGATCACTTAATACATTAATCCTTAATACATTCAGCAAAGCTAAGAGTTTTTTAATGTTAATATAGATTATGGGTAAATCTGTTCAAAAATAAAGAGTTTGCATCATTCATAAGAGATAATGAAATCAATCTCTTAATATCTTCTTCTTGTCTTAATGGGTAAAAAAAGTTAAATTAATTGGGTAATGCTTTACTTTAAAGGGGGGTTCATAAGACTGTCATGAAAGCTTTATAGTCATGACATGACTTATATAACAAAGCTGTTTTTAAATAGCTTTCATTGAAGGATGCCCATATGACTGCAGAAGAGAACTGCTCCGACAACTCTCTGATGAGGTATGTTTATTAGTATTATTATTATTAGTAGTAGTAGTAGTAGTAGTAGATGTTGTTGCTGTAGTAGTGCATTTAATTGTAATTATTTAACTTAGTGTGTGTCCTAATTTATGAACATATGCAATAGTGTAACATTGTGGGGACCAGCGGCATGTTAGAGAAGCTGTGAAACACTTAGTCCTGAATACACACACAGTACGGTCTGACATAGTGGGGACCGGGAGCCCTGAGTACTACTGTCTAATTATTATTTTTTGTTTTTTATATTCAGCTTTCATTGAAGTATGACCATATGACAGAGGAAGAGAACTGCTCTGCTCCAGTAGGAGACCCACAACCCTCTGATGAGGTGTGTTTAAATTTAATAATAATAATAATTATTATTATTATTAGTAGTAGTAGTAGTAGTAGTTGTTGTAGTAGTGGTGCATTTAATTGTAATTATTTAACTTAATCAAAATCTAGAAATGAAACAGAGAGTGTGTGTCCTAATTGGTGAACGTATGCACTAGTGTAACATTGTGGGGACCAGAGGCATGTTAGAGAAGCTGTGAAACACACTTAGTCCTGAATACACACACAGTAAGGCCTGACATAGTGGGGACCGGAACCCTTGAGTACTGCTGTCTAACTAATTTTTTTTTTTTTTTTTTCAGCTTGTATTGAAAGTTGACCATATGACAGAGGAAGAGAACTGCTCTGCTCCAGTACGTGACCCACAAATCTCTGATGAGGTGTGTTTAATGTTGTTGTTATTATTATTATTATTAGTAATAGTAGTAGTAGTTGTTGTTGTAGTAGTGGTGCATTTAATTGTAATTATTTAACTTAATGAAAATCTAGAAATGAAATAGAGTGTGTGTCCTAATTGGTGAACCCATGCACTAGTGTAACATTGTGGGGACCAGAGGCATGTTAGAGAAGCTGTGAAACACACTTAGTCCTCAATACACACACAGTACGGTCTGACATAGTGGGGACCGCGACCCTTGAGTACTGCTGTCTAACTAATATACATTTTTTTATATTTAGCTTGTATTGAAAGTTGACCATATGACAGAGGAAGAGAACTGCTCTGCTCCAGTACGTGACCCACAACTCTCTGATGAGGTGTGTTTAATGTTGTTGTTATTATTTTTATTAGTAGTAGTAGTAGTTGTTGTTGTAGTAGTGGTGCATTTAATTGTAATTATTTAACTTAATGAAAATCTAGAAATGAAATAGAGTGTGTGTCCTAATTTATGAACGTATGCACTAGTGTAACATTGTGGGGACCAGAGGCATATTAGAGAAGCTGTGAAACACTTAGTCCTGAATACACACACAGTACGGTCTGACATAGTGGGGACCGGGACCCTTGAGTACTGCTGTCTAACTAATATATATATATATATATATATATATATATATATATATATATATATATATATATATATATATATATATATATATATATATATATATATTTTTTTTTTTTTTTTTCAGCTTTTATTGAAGTATGACCATATGACAGAGGAAGAGAACTGCTCTGCTCCAGTAGGAGACCCACAACTCTGATGAGGTGTGTTTATAATAATAATAATAACAATTATTATTATTATTATTATTAGTTGTAGTAGTAATAGTAGTTGTTGTTGTAGTAGTGGTGTATTTAATTGTAATTATTTAACTTAATCAAAATATAGAAATGAAACAGAGTGTGTGTCCTAATTGGTGAACATATGCACTGACATTGTGGGGACCAGAGGCATGTTAGAGAAGCTGTGAAACACACTTAGTCCTGAATACACACACAGTACGGTCTGACATAGTGGGGACCGCGACCCTTGAGTACTGCTGTCTAACTAATATATATTTTTTTTATATTCAGCTTTTATTGAAGGATGACCATATAACAGGGGAAGAGAACTGCTCTGCTCCAGCACGTGACTCACAACTCTGTTATTGCATATCAGATTTAACGAACCGTTTACTACGGATTTCATGTCATTTTGATAACTGTCCATTAATCAGATGTCATCACACTGCTGTGTCGTCAGCCAATCGTTGTATTGCTGATAATGATTTTGAGGATCGATAGATCTGTCACGACACACAGTCACAACACATCTCAGATCAGTTTAATCTGATTCGCAAACTTTTTTGAAGAACCAAATTAGCCTAAGATGAGTTATCAAGATTAAAAGATCCAGGATCTGTAATATAATCTTAGATTATTTAAGCGAGGTCTGAAGAACAGACCCCTGGACCCTTGAGTACTACTGTCTAAATTATATATTTCAAAATAAAAATTATAAATTATATATAAAAATATATAAAATAATTTTATATAAAATATTTATAAAATTATATATAAAATATATATTTTTAATTATATACAGTTGAAGTCAGAATTAATAGCCCCCTTGTTTATTTCTTGTACTAAATTTCTGTTTAATGGAAAGCAGATTTTTTAAACACATTTCTAATCATAACAGTTTTAATAACTCATCTCTAATAACTGATTTATTTTCTCTTTGCCATGATGACAGTAAATAATATTTTACTAGATATTTTTCAAGACACTTCTATACAGCTTAAAGTGACATTTAAAGGCTTCACTAAGTTAATTAGGGTAACTAAGCAAGTTATTGGAGGGATAATAATATTGACCTTAAAATGGTTCATAAAAAATTTAAACTGCTTTTATTCTAGCTGAAATAAAACAAATAAGACTTTCTCCAGAAGAAAAAAATATTATCAGACATACTATGAAAAATTCCCTGCTCTGTTACACATCATTTGGAAAATATTTGTAAAAAAGTTTTAAAAAGGGGGGCTGACTTCAACTGTATATACTTTTATTTATATATATATATATATATATATATATATATATATATATATATACAGTTGAAGTATTAATTATTAGACCCCTTGGAATTTTTCTCTTCTTTTTTAAATATTTCCTAAACGATGTTTGTCAGAGCAAGGAAATTTTCACAGTATGTCTGATAATATTTTTTTCTTCTGGAGAAAGTCTTATTTGTTTTATTTTGACTAGAATAAAAACAGTTTAAATTTTTTTAAACACCATTTAAGGGACAAAATTATTAGCCTCTTTAAGCTATATTTTTTTCTCGATAATCTACAGAACAAACCATCGTTATACAATAACTTGACTAATTACCCTAACCTGCCTAGTTAACCTAATTACCCTAGTGAAGCCTTTAAATTTCACTTTAAGCTGTATAGAAGTGTCTTAAAGAATATCTAGTCTAATATTATTTACTGTCATCATGGCAAAGATTAAATAGGTCCATTATTAGAAATGATTATTAGAAATAGTTATTAAAACTATTATGTTTAGAAATGTGTTGAAAAAAATCTTCTCTCCGTTAAACAGAAATTGGGGAAATAATAAACAAGCGGTCTAATAATTCAGGGGGGCTAATAATTCTGACTTCAACTGTATATGAAGAGTTTCATTGCAAAACGAGATATATCCATTTAAAAAAATGTTGGTTATTTTGACATTATTTTTCAGGACATCAACAGTCAAGTTCATTCACAATTTCTGTACATTAAACTATAACTTGAGCTCAGTGAAGGCCAGGAACACAATATTTTCAAATGCAGGATATTTTTTATTTAATTTTATGTCTATAATTAAGTAAAAAAACATGCCAAAATGCTACATATTAATCCAACCCACATTGTCAAACATCTTAAATTGGTTAAAAAAAAACTATACACCATAAATATATGGAATAATATATGCAAAGATAGATTAATAATAATAAGATTCTAAGTTAGATTTGGCCAGAATGTACACAACATAACATAACATAACTTTATTTATTTATTTTTTTTGCAAAACGCTACATCCACCTTTGGCTATATTATACTACATTAATACCATTACCAAAAGCTAGTGAATCAATGTTTTGTTTGATAAGTAAGATTAAGTTAGTTAGATAAATGACCTTTAGCTTGGTTCAGAAAGAGTGGAGGGCGGCTCCTTCCACACCGCTGCAGAAAACCAAACCTGTATGATTAGAGCGGGCGGAGCTGAGTCCGTGACACAAACTTGCCTCGCTATGTCATATTTAATGAATTATTTCACTGTAATAATAATAATAGCTTATTTATTTGGTTGTGAAAAAGCTAAACCGTTTTCTCCATAACAACATGTGCCCTTTAAGTTCCTTCATAATAAATCAACAACAACAAGAATAAATTATAAATAATAGGTGCAACCGCATAAATATATCTTCAGATAGGCTACTCAGCTACATGTAAGAAATTATTTAAAAAATAAACTTATAAAGGACACTTAGAAATGTCGCCTTGCAGACAGGTATCTTGTGATGGGGAGTAGGAAAAAAGGCGCTCCTAGGCCTTTTCTTGACATCAGCGGAGACTCGTTCCCTGCTGCATTTGTGTATTGTTGACGCAGAAGTATCTTATTCGGGTCCACTTTTGTGGCCTTTTTATAAATTTTTGTGAAGTTGAAGACTTCATCTTCTATCGCTAAATCAATGAGCAAACTCTGAGCACTTCACCGGCGATGACTCTCTTCCCAGGGGATGCTGAGCTCGCGCCGCATCCTGAACGTTCTCTAACTGTTATATCGCACTTTGTATAGAAACTGGCCTGACGGATATTGCGTTTTGTGAAAAAAAAATACGTTTTGTACTTGGCCTAAAATGTGCTTTCTTAAATGTTATTAATGGCAGCAATTCACACATAGATTAAGGTACATCTGAACCGTGATTTCCAATAATAAAATCCAAATGTCAAAAAATGCCGTTTATCGCATTTTGCAACCAAACTCTTCATATGTATGTGTGTTATGACTGTATGACTGCAGAAGAGAACTGCTCTGTTCCCACAACTCAGTTTTTCTGGTATTTGAAAACAGACGCTCAGAAGATTTTAAAGGGTGGAATCTTGATCAAATCGTGGGTTTACACACAAACATGTAATACAGTGCCAGATTTTCTGGATGTTATATACACATTTGTATTTGCAAACATATATCATATTGTTTTAAATGATGTATTTTTGTGTGGGTTTTTACATTCAGAGAAAGTTACAGTGGATCGTGATTTTGGAGAAGGTGAAGTCCAATCTAAAAGGTAAAAATATTATTTATTTTTCTGATCAGAATTTTTCTTTTTTCAGAATGTTAATTTTTATCATGATATGTATGTGCTATGTTTGAAAACTATATTTAAGCTACCATCACACGATTTTACCTATTAAAAAGAACAACACAAAATCAAATAAATATTTTGGTAAGCTTTCTGCAGAGAAGTCAACTCTCAGACTTGATTTTTACTTTCAGAGTCCCCTCAAGTATCATCACCATGGTACAGTGTCTGTGAAGATAGTGATGCAGACCCAGCATTCACAAAAAAGAGAGGTATGATCATTAAAGTTAATTTGTGACTGACTTGTGTTATTGTACAAGTCCAAATGCACAAGCTCATTTACATAACATGTAGGGTAAAACAGGACAGAAGCACATTACTTCTATGATGATTTCAGTACAGTCGCACTTGATGTCTCATTTCATGTTAGTTAAACAATATTGCTAAATACTTTGGAAAAATATACTAATTGCATATCGGGTTACACTTTATTTTGATAATCTACTACTACTACTAACAACAAGTAACTGCAACTACTTGTCAACTAACAGCCATTAGACTGTCTGTTAGAATCAACACTGCTAATGCTCTACTAAATTTATATAAGAGTTAGTCATATTGTACTAATTTTGAGCGTAACCTAACAGTCTGCTGTACTATTTACTGAGACCAATGAGAGTTGGTTTTATTGAGGTAACCTTAACTGTCAGCTAATACTCTACACTCTAAAATTAATAAAAATAAGTAATAATAATTAAATTAGCAGTTTTTCATAATTTGTGATTCATGTTTTTATGAAATCTGTTTGTTTCTGCTTTTGAATTGCATTATGGGATCTTGATCTTTCTTCCAACAACTTTTAATCTTAAAAAGTAAAAAAAAGTGACTTTTTGTTTGGGTTGGTGTTGTATATTATGCTACAGAAACCTTGTAATAAACTGCCGGTACATTTTCTGTTATTCTAAAGACTTATTTATCTCTATATATTATTTCTTATACATTACATTATTTCAAAATACTAAAATGTCAGTAAAAGTCACTTTGTTAAACTGTAGAGTTGAATTTTCAACATCAAAAGTGCACAGAGCAGAGATCAACATCCCATAATGCAATTCACCACCACACACAAAAAAAACACTTGTAAATCACAAAATACAGGAACTGGTAATTAACAGATATGTGTTACAGTGTAGTGTTTTGAGCTAAACTTGAGCTAACAGTCTGCTAATACTCTACTGCAGTGGTTCTTAAACTTTTTTCATCAAGTACCACCTCAGAAAAAAATTGTCTCTCCAAGTACCACCAAAAATGAGCAGTATTGAAATACAGTAGCGTAGTAGGCTCAGTAAAGCGGCTACAACTCTGCTCAGATAAAAAAAAACGTGGCAGATTACCTCAGAAATATAGGCTATGTGTCATATATGGCATATTATATACATCATTTTTGATAAATTTTAAACTATATGTAGCATGTACATGACATATTTCATTCCTCCGCGTACCACTAGAAGGAAGCCCGCGTACCACTAGTGGTACACGTACCACAGTTTGAGAACCACTGCTCTACTGATAATCAGATGAGCGTTAGTCTTATTGAACATTCTAACAGTATGCAAATACTCTAATACATAATACTTTACGGTGAGATAATTAACGTAGTTGCAGAGTTACGCATAGTTAGAAGAATGTCTAAACTGGACTATGGAATAAAGTGTAAACCCACTAACCAGTTTTGAATTTAATAATAAGTATTTTTTAATCCATCTCCATCTTAAGTATTTTTAATAATAGGCAAGACATATTTTTCTAGCATTTTCTATCACAATATTAAACTAACATAACAGCACATGTTGTAAAAATGACTGAACATTTATGCAACTAAAACCACTTTTTTATATTTTAACCACCCATAGGTCCCACAAAGAGAAGATCCTGGAGCAAACAGGAAGTACATGCTGTGGTGAAACCTGAACCATTGGCTCTAAAAACCAGAGATTGGTCAGCTTTGGATTTTTATATTAAAAACTGAATCTCGACTCTGAATAACACTTTCATAGTAACTACACACTATACATCATTAGTTTAGCACTAACTCTACATAAATAGACTTTAGGAAGCAGTTTATAAATACAGCTTCAAACGCTGTATTCTTGACTTGACTAAATTGTATTTTCATGCTTTGTTACTGATTCATTTTTCATTACTATATTATGTATTGCATTATTTACAAACTATTTGTATATAAGAGTAGTTGGTGGTTTTTAAGATAATTCAGAATGAGTTAATAAATGATTAATAAACTATTCAAATGAACATTTATACATGTTATATTCAGGCATATAGTAATTGTAACCATGTGTGTTAGTAAATGCTATAATAACACAACTTCATGCAGTTTTGTGACCTAAGGACCGTTTATAGTTGATAAATCCCTTATAAATGACAATTTAGGGCTCAGTATCTAATGAACAATAAATCTTTGCAATCTTATTAAAAAAAATTCTGTAAAGTCTAAACATTACAAAATAAAAATACAACATCATTTCAAAACAACACAATTAACAATATGGCAATATTCATTTCAGTGTTTCTGTGATGTTTGCACTGTACAGTTATTTTATATTTTGATAAGATTGCTAAGATTTATTTTTCATTAGATAGTTTCATTTGTGTATCTTGAAATTAATGAAAAAAAAAAAAAATATATATATATATATATATATATATATATATATATATATATATATATATATATATATATATATATATATATATATATATATATCTTCTTTGGCCTTAGTCCCATATGATTGCGGGGTCGGCTCTTTTTGGAACAAGTCCTCCAGTTTTAGACTTGTCCATATGATAAAGACTTTTTTTACACCTACCGGCCAGCCTGTCATATGGGCGTGTCACACTCATACACTAGGGACAATTTAGCCTTCCCAATTCACCTTTAGCATGTCTTTGGACTGTGCCTTTGCACACGGAGGAAACACACACGAATGCAGGAAGAACATGCAAACTTCTCACAGAAATGCCAACTGAGCCGAGGTTCAAACCAGTGACCCAGCGACCTTCTTGCTGTGAGGCGACAGCACTACCTACCGCGCCACTGCTTCACCATATATATATATATATTTATAAAGCTATAAATCACTCTTAATTTATTAATGTATTTAATCACCTTTTAATTTATTTATTTTTTCTGTTTAGAATATAGCTGAGATTTTAATTGTCATTTATAAGGGATTTATAAAGCATCAATAGTCCTCACTTTACATTAGCTCACAAAACTGCATGAAGTTGAGTTCATAAAGCATTTATTATTAGAAAGAGTAACCATTACTATATGCCTGATTAATAAGATATATAAATGTTGGGTAACACTATAATAACTGCACACAATGAATTATTTATGAAACATTAGCAAATAGTTAGTTGAACGTTTGTTAAGCATTAACGCTACATTAATAGACATTAGTAAGCAGTTTATAAATTATATTTATAAATATAAATTACAAATATTATTGACTTATAAGCACAATTATAATGTGCTTAATGATTGTTTTCATACTTGGTAAATAATGCAATACTTAATTTAGTAATGAAAAGTACATCATTAACAAACCAGATATTTAAAAGTAGTTGGTGTTTTTTTTTAGATAATTCAGAATGTGCAAGTAAATGATTAATAAACTATTAAAAATAACATTGATAATTCTTATTATTCAGGCATATAATAAGTTGTTTAGTATGTTAATAAATGCTTTATGAACTCAACTTCATGCAGTTTTGTGATCTAATCTAAAGCGAGGGCTATTCATGCTTTATAAATCCATTATAAATGACAATATAAGGCTCAGTTACATTATATACAGGAAAAAAATGACTATTAATTTTTCTTATTACAAGATGCTCAAATGAAACTGTATCAAATGAAAAGTAAATCATTGCAATCTTGTCTAAATATAAAATTGCTTTACACGTAATGTATTGTTAAATTATTATATTGTTTTATCAAATGATGTTGTATTTCGACACTCCTGTTATTCAGCAATGTTTAAAATTTACAGTAATTGTATTTGTTTAGGTACGATTGCAAATACTTATTGTTTATTTGATACTGAGCCTGGCAACGCAGTGGCGCAGTAGGTAGTGCTGTCACCTCACAGCAAGAAGGTCGCTGGTTCGAGCCCTGGCTGGGTCAGTTGGCGTTTCTGTGTAAAGTTTGCATGTTCTCCCTGTGTTGGTGTGGGTGCTCCTACATGCGGTACAGGTGAATTGGGTAGCCTAAAATGGTCCGTAGTAAATGAGCGTGAATGAGTGTGTATGTGTATGGATGTGTCCCAGGGATGGGTTTCAGCTGGAAGGGCATCCGCTGCATAAAAACGTGCTGGATAAGTTGGTGGTTCAATCCGCTGTTGCGACCCCGGATTAATAAAGAGAGAAAACCAAAATGAAAATAAATGAATAAATGAATGATTCTGAGCCTTTAATTGTCATTTATAAGGGATTTATAAAGCATCAATATTCCTCACTTTAGATTAGATCACAAAACTGCATGTTGAGTTCATAAAGCATTATTTAACATGCAGAAAAACATATTATATGCAGGGCTCCAAACCGGTTCAAGGAACAGAAATAAAAAACAGAATCAAATGACATTTTTCAGGAACAGAAACGAAAACCGAAAAAAAAAGATCAACTTTAATCGTTCTGAACAGAAATGTTTACAGTTAAACGGTTAATAATGTTATTTTATTGTTCTTTTTATTATATGAATTTGGGAGACAAAAAGCATTAATTTAAAGCATGTGAACAAATGCGACGGTGACGCTCGTTTTTATATAAACTATAAATGTCTGGCCGTGATGCGTATTTAGGCCTATGCCAGTCTATAAAAAGATAATGTAGCTTAAAACACTTTAAAATTTTAGAGAACGTAATACAGTTTGCACAACCAATGTTTGGTCTTAATAACCTGCCCATAATTAAACGTCATGTAGCCTACTTTTTGATTACTTGACCAGCGGATTAATGGCAGCACCAGTGGATAAACGAGATCTGAGCATAACAGGTATGACTAGTGTGTGCATAACCAATATGCAAAGTCAAGAGAGTGCACGACTCCATAGGGTAACGTAGCCTAAACTGCGCACACTTGATTATGTAATGTGTGAAATCGTGAACGCATCTCAAAGAGCAAAGCATAACTTATTAAATGCCCATGCTTAATCGGTCATCGATAAGGTCTATCGGTTTTAAAGGGTTACCGACAATAAATCAATCGAGTGATTGTTAGCATCCCTAGTTTAATCAATGAATGTGTTAAATTTAATATTTATATTAAAGATGAATAAGGCAAGAATATGATAATGATACTTTTTAGATTTTTACACCTACAAAAATATCTTGTGGTAGTGCACTTGTTTAATAAAAATCTTTGTAAATAGGTTATCTGTAAAAAACGCAATCAGAGCCAATGACATGTAGAAGTAGTGTTGCCTAAACGGCTATTAAATTTCTAATAAAATTAAAACCAAAGTATAACTCATTGCATTTTTCGTTTGATAAAAATATACAGAAACTAAATAAAATCATAAGGATGCTACTTTGTAATTTATGTTAATAATAATAAAATGACATGCTTAGACTATAAGCTTAACGGCTATACGCTGCCAAAAGGCCATTAATAAATATTATTTTACTTTGTACTGGATTATAATGTATATTTTACAATAAAAACTAAATATAGCATGTATTACTGTCATTTAAAACAAGTAATTAAAAATACACATCAGAACTGTAGACCTGCAGTGGGTAAACTGTATACAGGGGGTGTTGGTCAATCAATAGCCTACAGCACATAATTGAACTAATTATGATGCTAACTGTATTTTAGCTCTTAATATAGGCCTACGATATATTTTCTGGTGTTTAATTTAGCATGAGCAAATAGCAGTATAGCCTAAAGTAAATTTTTAAAAAAGATTATCATTTACCCTACCTGCAGCACATGTGAGAGGTGGATCTGCAGCAAATTCACTTACACACTAGGCTATATCTATTTAATTTATAACAATGTAAACTTGATTTTTTAGTTGCACCATTAAAAAAACAGAGCACTCTAGAGCCCTGCAATACTTTGTAATTAAATAAAGTTTTTTTTTTTTTTTTTTCTAGAAAACTATTTTGTCTATTAGGCAACGCAAGAACAGAACCGAAAAAATATAAATTCTGCTTAGAGTGAACCGATTGGATTTTCTTTTTTTTCTTTTTTTTTTTTTTTAGCCCTGATTATATGCCTGAATAGTAAATGTATAAATTTACTCATTCTTAATGATCTTAAAAAACACCAATTATTCTTAGACAGTTTGTAAATAATGCAATACTTCATTTAGTAATGAAAAATGAATTATAAACAAAGTATGAAAACACAAAAATTGAGCACATTACACATGCTTATAAGTCAACAATAGAGCATCTAGCTGTGTTTATAAACTGCTTACTATTAATGTAGAGTTAATGCTTAACAAATGATGTCTATTTGGAGTTTTGGTTGCTTGGTTATATGATGAAGGCCTCTGTGCATTTGTGGGGTTCAGTTCTTTATAAATATATTTTTAAATATTTTTAATGTTTTTTTTTTTCAAATAGTTAAAATACGACAGAAACAGAAATAGAACATACTGGTGGGTTTTAAGAGTTTACCCAAAAATGTACATTATATTATTAATTACTTGGCCTCATCTCACTCTAATCCCCTGAGACCTTCATTCATCTTCAGACTCAAAGGAAGATAACTTAGATGAAGTGCAAGAACTCCTCATCCTCCATAGACAGCAAGGGATAGAAACAATATGAAGGAGAGGAATTAATAACAGAATCTTCATTTTGGGGGGAACTAACCGTTTAATATTGTTTGCTATTGCACTTAACTAAATGTGTATGCAGACATGGAAGAGTTATGTGGAAGCTTGTTATACCCAATGAGAACTGCTTTTAGACATGCAAGAGAGTTTCATGGATTTTGTGTT